CTGACAGCTGCGCGTGCCGGTGCTGGTGGCAATTTATCTGCTTGGCAGGGAAGGAGAAGGAATTTTGTCTGGAGACTTGGGTGTAGGGGGAGTGCAGCCCAAAGGATGATTAGGAGCAGCAGGTTATTAGGATTGCAGTGGTATTTATTTCGCATTTATTAATTTGTAAAGTGCTGTCAGATTACTAATTGCAAACTCTGTATCCCAGAAGAGTTCTGCTTTTTTTGCATCCTGTTGCTGATAAATGAGTTGTACTTAGTCACTTCAGTGCTGTAGCAGTAGTGCCACAGGAGGACAAAGCAGTACTGTGAAAGCCGGCTATATTAGTAGTTTTTATTACTGAAGAACTATTTTGTTCTTCTTTTTTTAACTCTTCTTTACAAGTTCTAGTTGATTTGTTGGTGATTTTTTTTTTGTCTAAATTTTTAATTTCAGATAATGTCATGTAATAGTGGAAAGGTGGTATAGAATTAGAAAAGGGGGAGGGAGATGAGTGGGATTGAGAAAGGACATAAAAGCTGATGCGTGGAGGACTTAGAAGTACCAAAATAATGATTTGGAAAGTAATCGTATCCAACCTTCCCGGTGTTTATATTATTGCCAGTTTGGTTAAATGTCTTTTTGTCGTAGTTTCGGTCTGTGTGGGAAAAGAAAAAAGGGGGGGGGGGGAGAGGCGTTACTCTTTTTGTCTTCCATTGTATTAAATCTGTTAGCTGATAGCAATTTCCTTAGTAAAATTTCTATCTGGGGTTTTAATGACTTTTATGAAAATAGGCAAGCAGCGGTGCGGGATGCAGCGCAGCGTCCGGAGGAGAGCGGGGCAGGCAGCGTGCGGAGCCGTGCGCTCCGCTGGGCAGCTGCTGACCCGCAGGCTGGCACGCGTGTGCTGCCTGGCGAACCGGCGTTGCCCTGCTCCGGACAAACCTGTGCTCCTCCCTCTTCCCTCCATCCCTCCTGAAAAATGCATTTGGTTTGTGGGGGTTTTTTGGGGGGAAGGATAGAGGGAAGAGAGCAGTTGGAAACAGGGATTGCTTTCACAGGACTGCAGAAGCTACAAAACCCCTCGGGGAGGAGGACAGCGGGTGAAAGCAGCTGCACGTAAGTGACACGGTAATCCAGACTGAGGAAATGATCAGACTGAAAAATCATGGGGAAGAACACACTCTTTTTTTCTTGCGTGATCTGCTTCACAGCCTGGTTATGGCTATGCAAGCAGCTGAGCCAGCAGAACGGGGAGAAGCTGCTGTGGAGAGAGGACGTGTTGGCTGCTGCAGCAGGGAGCAGTTTCACACTTCTTGCCTTTTCTCCCATGTGTCAGTATTTGCTAGTCATTTAGTCACATTGCGAGTTGGATGAAAACTATTTCTTCCTTTTTACTGGGCCAATTTTTAGTTTGACCAAGTTCCCTCTGATCATGTTCCCTCGTGTGGCTCATCTGGGTGTTCACGTGAAAATAGTAATGGCAGTGAAAGAGGAAGGATGGAAACCAAGGACTGAGGGGGTATGGCAAGGGGGGGGGGCGGGATCCTTTCAGCAGATGCTTTCATTCATGTTTGGTTAAAATGATCTTGTGTTACACTTTTCTCTGGTTATAAACTGGCTTAGTTGACTTGGCTGTTGAAATAACAAAGCATTCTCTGAATCTGACCTGGTGAGGGATTCGTGTCTTTGCTTTTCTGTCTATGCAGTGATGCAGTTCAGAAAAAAAATCCAAGCGAAAAATAATTCTCGCTCCCCATCGTGTACCCTGCTACTGACTTAATTTTTAGCCTAATCAGTTTTTCCATAAACCCTAAAGGGAGACTACTTTTGGCAAGTGGTGTTTTTTATGGGTTGTTGTGTGGTGGTTTTTTGGGGTTTTGTTTTGTTTGCTTTTTAAGAGTTCGGTGAACTGTGATTATTGGAATTAGGTAGAGAGGAGGCTCCTATGCTCTTTAGGTGATTTGGCGAATTTTCACAAAGCAACAGATCTGTGTGACATTGTGTGGTCACCCAGTATTGGAGAAAAAAGGCTTGGTACTGATCCAAAATTGAAATTTGGTTTGGTTTTTTTTTTTGCCATGCAACTTCATCTATATTTTGGGTTATAAAGATGCATTTTCTTTTACCCGCAGTCTTCCAAAAACACTTGCATGTGCACCCTATGTTTATAACAATGTTCAGAGTGTTGCAACATCACTGGACTAGACTGTTCCTTCTATTTTGGGACCCAAAGCAACAGAGCTGTTTTCAGTCAGTCCTAATGCTCATGCTTGCAGATGTAGAGAATAAAGCAGAACTGATACATCTGGGATCTTAACACCTTCCAGCTGGTGTTTTGTCAGAGGGGAACCTGTGTATGTGTACTTAGGAGAGAGGATTATTGTCATCATATGAGCATATCTGAAAGGGACAAAAGGTTTAAAAATATTGAATGTTGTCTTGCTTCAGATGTCATTCCTGGAAAATGGTCATGTTGACATCTGAATCTTCTGTTTCTGTTGGGTAATGAGATGCAGTGTACACAAAAGACCCTTTGGCTTCTTAGTTGGGAAGTTGAGTTGATGCCGTGTGGGCTAATGTTGACAAAAAGGACTGATAATGTCGTCATGCGTATGTGTAGCAGTGCTGTCTTTATAGATTAGCAGACCAAAACAGCAAAAAATTTTTCGGTCCTATCAAGCTTGATACGAAACAAAAAATGAAATACTACTAACTTGTTTTGTTCTTTGCAGGTAGTGGTTTTGGAAGCATATTTTAAGAGCTCAGTTTGCTGCTTCAGTTTGGTGATTGCTTTTTTTTCTCTTTTTTCCTTAAACCAGAAAAAGCCACTGTCCTCAATAATAAAAGAAGTCTGCGATGGGTAAGTTTTGCCATATAGTACATACTAGATACTATACTTTTTGACGTATTAAACCAACCAGGAGATAATTTTTTTTGAAGAAAAACTAGATACCCTGTATGACTAGTCATTAGTTTCTTAAATCTTGTAGTTGTTTTATCTTCAGATTTTGACTTTGCAGTGTATTTTGGATTGGTTACTTGCAAGATGAGGTTCCTAACAAAGCGTCTCTATCATGTGGGGGCTCTCTAATTAGACTATTGCCTTTCTGCAGAGAGGTGTATTTACCCACTCACTTTACATGTGTGATCCCTGCAGTGCATTGGGTTAGGGAACTAAAGCGCTGTCTGTGGCTTTGATTTTTGAGCATTGGGTCCAGTGGCTGCTGTAAGCTGGTCCAGTTGATGTGACTGCTCCCATGAAACTGAGACGTTAATCACAAGTCCTGCAATAAGAACTAATAATTGGCTAAGAGAAATATCTTGCTTTAGTTTTAATATATTTGGGGGAAAAAAAATGCTGTTTTAAGCAAGTGCTACCACAGAGGAGAAACTAGTTTATATTTATCAAATTGCTGCTGAGATAAAAACGTGGTATTTTATGTGTAATGTAATATATCAACTTAATATTGTATGTGTTTGTTATTGTATAAGCTAGCATAAAATTGTGGTACTGTAAATTTTTTTGGAGTCTGTTTCAGTGATTTAGTGATCTTGCTTACTGCAAGCAAAAATTATGCTTGCTGTTTTTTATAGATCTGGAATGAATATCAGATCATTATCAACTTATTTTTGGAGCACTGAAGTGTCACTGTAGCGACAAAATAGTTTCTCTTCTTTCTCCCCGCTCCTCCTTTTTATCTTTACCATGGAAGAAAGGTATTCTTTATGTAATTTCTTTCTCGACCATGGTCATGTTCAGGGCTTTGTTTCAGATACGCAAAGGGAAAATCTTACTTATAGGATGTATTTTTACTGAAGTTTTCCCTTTGTAAGCATGCTTGTATCTTAAACTTTGGAACTCATCACTGAAAGCTATGTAAAAGTATGAGAAATACATGGGAATGACAGGCATTTGTTTGATCATAGTAAAACTATGTAAAGTGTACTTTTTGAATTTTTAAGATTTCACTTTGTGATTAATTTATTTTCATATTTCTAAGGTGGTCTCTTGCAAATCATGATCAATTTGCACTGCAGCATGCTGATAGCTCTAATTTCTACATCACAGAGAAGGTAGGTAAATAATTCAACACAATTCTTGCAGAGCCTGTCAAAATGTTTGCCACAATAATTTATTTTATATTAAAATATGTAAAAACATAGAGTATTTTCTGTAATGCAATGCTGATAAGAGGGTAGGTACTGGGGGACCTGGTTTAATGATTTTGCATGGATTTCTTCTGTTTGGAAAGGCAAATAAAAGTTTGAATGTGCTAAGGCCTTCACTTCTGTTGAGTTTGAGACTTAAGCGCTGAGCCCTTCAGCTTTGGTATTTGTGCATGTTTAGTATTCTGCTGACAAGTGGTGTACAGGAAATTGAAATATGTAAAACGTGAAGGGCTCTTTGAAGTCTGAGGAGACGTTCAGTGCATGTCACTTCCCTCTTTGGCTGATCAGGTAGAAATAAGTTTCAGTGACTGTGTAATATTTGCTACTCCTTCCCACCTCCTGTCTTGTCCTTTTCCAGTTCTGTATGTTACATTGGCTTATTTTTTTTGGTCCCCAGATAGCGTGGCAATGAGTGATTCATGAAGTGATGCAATGATTTCAGCACAGAGTAACGAAATGGCTGGAGCTGTAACAAAAATGGAATGTCTAGTCTAAATAAATGGGACATGCTCATCTGAACGAGACCAAGTAGTACATTCATTCCTAGCATTACTGATAGAATTGCTGAAATTACTGAAATTATGACCAAAAAAAAATTGTTTGGAAGAGTGTACACAGTAGTGCTGCAGAGGTACAATTTCTAAGTGATGGGAAAAGAGCACTATTCAAAACTTGCTGAAGTCTGCATGCAGATTCCCTAAACTCAGTGGGTTTTGAGCTAAGTAGACCTGAGCGTAGCTGCATAGACGTAGATGGCTTACCTTGTTAGCAGTTTAGTTTGGCTTACTCCTAAGCGGAAGGGTCTTTTGGTTTTGTTTTACATTTTACAGTTGTTTAGGATCTGCTAAACACAGCTGAGACATGAACTAACTTTTCTCTTGCTGTAATTCTTACCCCATCGAAGAAATAAAGGGAACTTAGGAACAGTTAAGCATTTAGAAAGACTAAATTTAGCAAGACAGCTAAAGCAGTTGCTCATAAGGTAGTGCTGCTTTTTTTTTTTTTAGCAGACCAGTTTCAGTTTTTCATTTAACTGTTTGTCACCCCAGACAATCTTCTCAATGTGTCACAGTTTGTTTTTTCCCTTGTGTGTTTTTTTCTCCTTTCTTTTCAAGTTTCAATTGACAGACACTTCAAAGGACACCACAAGGAAAACTGTTGACGTAATTATTGGCTGCTGTATTTTGCCTCCACCCAAATTAAAGAGTGAGACTGTTTTGCTAATTGCCCTGAATTGTGACACAACGTTTTCCAATATGCCAGACAAAATTGAACTTGCCTGTTGGCATTTAAACTCTGATAGTACAGTGAGTATTTCCAGGAATCCAGGATCGAGCGAATACTTGAGCTTGTTGAATGAATTTGTCCTGATACAGTTGGAGGAATTTTCCAGGCTTTGCCTCCACCTTTGGTGGGTAGGATCCTGCAGCTTTGGAGAAATGTTTTCTGTTCTGTATAAAAAGAAGTCTGATGGCTTTTGGCTGCCTGTAGCTTGCAATAAGGATGGAAAACGATGGTCTTCTAGAACATTTTGGATTGTACTGCGGAGAGGACTTCGAGTTTGTTTATTCCCTACTGAAAATATGCAGAGTGTCTGACTCTGAGTCACATAAATAAGAGAGAAGAGCTCTAAATGCCACCAGTATTACTCAGATGTCTGTGACTTTTATTAGATATTGTTCATTGTTTATCACTGCTTATTGGATGGTGGCTATAAAGAGAGGCTTATATAGGCCATCACCCTTTCTACATACTTTCCCTCATTTGTGTGCAGTAGGGTATTGTTGCCTTCTGAAATAAAACGTGAAAAACACCAGGCATGAGGGCAAACACATGCACTTCAATGAAGCTGCAACACCAATTGTTAAAGCCCATGTTGCTTTAGTCTGCCTCTTACTAGGACATGAGCAGAGCTCTTTTGTGACAATGATGGCTTCTAATACGTAAATATTTTTACTGCTCTGGAAGATGAATTGTATGTCTGTACATATGCAGAAAACATTATGTATAGGTCATGTTTCTGCAGACCCTTGGTGACTGCTAATTTATGGCCTTCCAGGTAGAGATGCCTTTTTAAAATATCACCGTGTTTAAAGTTAACAGAAAGAAAAGCAATTAATGAATTCTTGTACAAAGTAACAAGAAACTTTGAAGTGAAAATGGTACAAATGTGGGACTGTCAACACATGGCTTACGATTACATATTTGTTTTTGGGTGGCAAACAGCGCATCTGTGTTTTGGTTGTCATATGCAGAACTCTATCTTTTGTAGCTGACCTATATTTCCTGATTATACCATACATAAATATAAACAACGCCCAAGCAGTTCTGCCTCTTACTTCTTTTTCCCTGGCTGTATTATTTAGAAAAATGCCTCTACAGGAGTAGTAATAACTCCTTCAGACGGTATAAGGGTGGTCATTTAACAAATCTTGAGTCAGCCAGGGTTCCTACTGGAGATAGTGCTTATCACAGGAGATGCAGTTTGGACTGCTGCCTCTGGGATCTGGTTTGGCTATATGTGTGCCTCTGAAAGTGCAGTGGAAATTATGAATTATGTATTTCAGTAATTTTTTTTTAATGGGAGAAATAAAATAAGAGATTATGTGAATAAGAAAACCGAGCAAACATAGTGCCTAAGCTCAAGCCTAGCTGGTGTTTTTGATCACGATGTGTTTCATTTTTTTAATTACAATTATAGGTGTGTCCTTTTTTAAAGGAGGGCCATTTCTTTGATAGGTCAAACCTCTAAAAGCCTGACTTCTGAATCAGGATCTCATTGTGCTAGATACTATATAATAGAGAATAAAAAGTCACCTTTGCTTCAATCTGTCCAGGTTGTACACAAGCATCTATTCAGGTACATCAGGTGTAATAACTCAGGAACATTATAGCCTGGACAAGCTCAGGTTTAGAACAGAAAATGCTATAAGAAGGGCAGAAAGTGGCTGTATAGCTGTGTGCTATGTGTGTAACTGGGCTGAAAATCACAGCTTGGATATCTGTCCACTGTGTTCCTCTGCTGGCAGTACTAGGAATCCAGGGACAGACATCCAGGTGGCTCGTGCAGCACGTTGGTGGTTATGCCTGGTCCCTTATCGCTGCTCACTCTTGGCCCTGCAGACACAGTCTGGCTCCTCCAGATCCGCCTGAGCATCTGCACTGCCCACCATGGGCTCTGAGTCTGGGAGGGATCATTATTAGCTCAAACCCAGTCTCTGAAAACAAAACGGTAGTGAAGGAGCTGGATCATTGCAGTGGTTCAGATTACAGCGCAGCCTCAAAAATGGTCATTTTGTCACATCTGGAGTTGTGATAAACCGCAGTGTTTATCAACAAGGGGGCCTTGCAGCAGTATGGGGCTGGGGAAGAGCCGTGTTCAAGCTGCCTTCACTGCTGGAGGCAGAACGTGGTGGTTCTTAATCCTGCGCCAGAGCAGCTATCAGGAATAAAAGGCTAGCTCGCTCTTGCTGAGGGGCTTTTTGAGCGAGCTCCGAGTTATGTGCAGCACACAGTGGTAATACTGGTGCCATTTTTTATGTTATCTTTTAAATGGAAGGAAGTTTCATTCATCTGTTTGTTGACTGCAGTCCCTTTTTATTCAGTCACAATTTCATTGTGTTCAGTTTTTACATCTGATGCCTGTGAAGACTCCATGTGTTTTTCTCCTTCATTCCCGACTCCCATTTCCCTTTCATTCTTATGTATTATTGTATGAAGTGGAAGAGAGCGGACACTGAGCTCCCTCTATTAGTTTTGAGAGACTTTTGTACTATTTTGCAAAGGGAGCTGCCCCCACCTTTCTTTCACTGTCATTATTCAGCTCTTTGCTGTGTTTGCAGATGGGACATCTTTCTACCTCCCACCTTTCCTGAGCTGGGAACCTAGGTAGAGTCCCCGGTGTTTGTTCTTTCTCAAAGGTGCTTTTGCTTGTGACCTATTTTTTGCTGAATACAACCTGTAATTGTATATTCATGTGAAATTCCACCATGCCATTACAGGCTCCCTGCGTGGGAGTGTATGTAAATTACAGGACAAGAAATGAGCCACTTGTAGGGTTGGAGTTTTTTGGAGTTTTTTTTTTTCTTTCATGTTTTTAGTATTCATCTGTTTTCACTGATTAGTTGAACTTCAGTAAGTTGGAAGCAAATGTTCTCAATAACGAAAGTTTCTGATTCACTGAAGGACCTGATACTTTGTAAGCAGCCGAGAATGAGAAGTAGCATGAAGGCTGGGAACTGGAGAAGTATATTAAGTGATCTTTTCCTCTCATTTGCCATTTTGCATTACTTTTGATAATACATTTGTTAGTAATGCTACATAAATAGCAGATTCCAATCCAGATTTGACCTGGACCAAACTATGCTTAACTTTCCCTTTTCTCTGCCACTGATAGGACACGTGCTATTTCCCTCATATTCACAAATTTCTTACTCTTTGGGGGCATCTGCACAGCCCTGCAGAAATTCCTAACAATAAGGGCAGCACATGGAGTCAGAGTGGCTGTGCTCCTGCCTGATAGATGTATGCAGGTAACACTGTGCTGTGGACTCCGGGAGAAACTACTGGACACCAGTATATTTCTCTGGTGAACAGAAATAAAACTTGAGTATCCATACACTAAACCACTTTCAATCCTGCTTTGTTCAGCCTGATTTTAAGAACAGTGGTTATACTTCTCTTAGTAAATTAGTCTTGGTTTTTAGGATTTATTTTGTAGGACTTTAGGTTTATGCTAAATTTTCCAGAGAAAATAATTCTGTTCTGTCAACCTATTACAGTTTCTGGGCCCAGCATGAACAGCTTACTACTTCTGCTTGCCTACTTTTTAAATATTTGGTGTGACAACATCTTCTATTTAGTTCCTTAGTTCCACATCAAGGCTGATGAGATGGATCAAGTGT